AGGCACAGAGGGGAAGTAACTTGCCCAGAATCTCTCAGCAGGCCAGTGACAGAGCTGAGAATAGAATCATGGTCCCCTGGGGGTCTAGTCTATTGATCTAACCACTAGGCAATACTGCCAAGTGCTTTACAAATACATGAATCCTCTCAGCCCCTGTGAGGTAGGGGAGTGCAGCCATCCCCATTTTATGGATGGGGGAAACTAAGGAATATAGAAATTAAATACCTTATTTTCAGAAGTGCCAGGCACCCCATCTTTGATTGCTCAGCCCTTCTGAAGACTGGGGCCTAAGATACTGTTTCCCCAAGGGGCGGAGGAGAGAGGGAGTAACCCAAGCCAGGAATAAAATTCAGTAATTCCTGGCTCCTCGTGTCCTCTGCTCCCTTTGTTATTGTACTGTTGGTATGCCCCTTGGGTGTGTCCTGTGGCCAACAGCAAAATATCTTCATATGTATGGGCTAAGGAGTGCCCCCGTAGCCTAGGAATAAACGATTCCAGAATGCGTGCCTCTGTGATCTGCATGGGGCTGGCATGGACGGGCATGGCTGTAGCAGCCCTAAAAGCAGGGGGCTGGAACAATTTGTATAGTGGGGGGCTGAGAGCCACTGAACTGTAAACCTTGTATATGATGGAAACCCCTTCAAGGCAGGGGGTGCCCCCGCACCTCCAGCCCTACGACTAAAAGGCCCAATTCAGAACATCGCTTAGTATCCCAAACCATCATTTTCCAGGCTTAGAAACTGCCAGTGCTTCCCAGTTTTCTGATTTCACACCAGTAGGCACCTGTCTTGCTCTGACCTCCGTCGTTCATTTACTGTTGAATAGCCGGGAAGCTCAATACAGTGGGGAAAAAGCAAACCCCATTTGCAGTCAGAGTTGGGGTAGTTGTTAGTTGTGAATAACCATCAGGAATTTTATTTTTTATTTTTCCTGTTCACAAATCAATCCTGATATCTGTAGAAATATTTGCTGATGGCTTTGAATAAACAACTCTTCAGTCTATGGGGGGATTTGTGAACTGTTCTCTCTCCATATTCATGGAGTATGATTGGCCATCTCCGTCACATGGACATGATATGAATTTTTTGCTTCCTGACTGGATGAGTAAATGTTATAAAATTGGAGGATGATAAAATTGTGAACAACACAAGCTCTGGCAATAATTTTCAAGCAAGTGATCATTCATGCCAAGATGTATGAAACTTCTGGGATTCAACAGCCATTTTCACAAACACTCAGCAGTTGTCTGAATACTTCGGAAAAGCCAATGCACTGGGGGACTCCTCCATGAGTAATAGCATGTGGAACGTCTCTCTGCAGAAGCATTTTCAAAGGGCTGCATTGGACCAGCTCTATTAGTGCTTACAGCTCTTTCTGAAACATCTGAAGTCTGGTTATTTGCTTCTGCTGTTTGCATTGTTCTGCCCCAGTGGATGGCGACCTTGGTGTGGTGGTGGTGGTGGAGCGGCTTGAGTGTTCCCATGATGCTGAAGCGGTTCCTTCAGGAATCTCGCACTCCTGGCAGGGGCACCCAAGGTGGCAACGTCGAAGGTGAGGTTCCAGACAAACAGCGATCTCCCCTCCTCCCCCTACCGCCCCCCCAAGTCCTCAACATCAGAACAGGTGGATGAAGAGACCATTTCTCTCAACGGCTGTGAAGGTGGCTGAAGGTTGCAGTAGAATGAAGGTCTCCAATGATGTTGGTTTCCTTGCCATTGGATTGTGATCCTCCTCCTGCCAAGCACCATGTGGACACTGGTGTGCCACAGGGTCTCCATGTTCAAAGAAATCACGCACCGGCACCTTCCGTCCAGTTCTGCCCCTTCCCTTGGGAAATGTCTGCCCCAACTGTGACAAGATCTGCGGCTCCACCAGCAATAAATGGCTGTCATTTTATGGAAGACCATCATCCTTGAACTTGGAGGGATCGCCAGCTGTGGCAAGTTCTCATTTTGATGTTTATGGGAGATAATGAGCCGAGCCCAAACCCCAGCTCCAAGCACACCATCCCGTGATTGTTTGATGTTTAACCTGGAGAGAGAAAGTGTGGATGGTTTTGTGGTTAAGGCCCTGGGCTTGAGACTGAGGAGATCTGGATTTAGTTTTCAGCTCTGCCACAGACCCCCTGTGACCTTAGGCAAATCACTTAATCTCTCTGTGCTTCAGTTTCCCATCTGTAAAATGGGCATAGCAACACATGGGGGGTAGTGAAGATAAATTCATTAATATTTGTCAAGCACTCGGCCACTACCGTGATAAGCACCATAGAAAACTTTATACGTTGTGGGCACTGTTTGCTTTCTCTGTATTAATTAATTATGTGTGGTAGTTATTCTCCCCCCTCCCCCACCTACAGCTGTATACTAGACTTGGAAAAAATGTGGACTGGCTGGTTAGAAAGGACAAGGGATCTGGAATTGATTTCAAGAGCACTGTCCTCCCATGTATCCTTTACTGAGTGTAGCTGCTCAGGATCATCTGGCAAGTAGGATTAAGAACCTAGAAAGATGAATAAGGAAATAGGACATTTGGCTTGTTTTCTTGGCACCCAGAGGGGTGTTTAGTCTGGGCTTTTGTCACTGTTGGGCTACTTTTTTCAGCTCAAGAGGATCATGCCTATTGCCACCTCCACAGGCCTTGCAGGGTGGAATAATATGGAAGGGGCCGATTTTGTTTCCAAGTAAATATGGGCTGGCATTGTAGCAATGGAGAGATTCACAGCTAGTTGGATCAGGGGCTAGGCTTGTCCTCTGCACTGTAAGATACTGGGTGGGAGTTGGGGTCAGGGGGGAACGTTTTATGCTTGAGTCTGTGAATTCCTGTGGTTCTCACTTATGGATTTTTGTGGGCTGCCCAAGCTGTCCCATGACTTCATTTCCCTTCTGTTTTTGGCTGCAGCCATCTACTAGGGGTGGTCCTGAAACAAAACACTGGCTCTGAACACCCTGAAACTTCGGCAAGTTCCTCTCTGGGTCCGAACTACGTACATCAGGCTCATCTCTGCTCTCTCATCAATTCTTGTATTTGCCACCAGTGCTTTTCCCTAAAAAGACACACATACATTCTGCTCCCTCCAAAAACAACCCCCCCTTCCCAAAGTTACCATGTGTCCAGTTTTCCAAAGTAGTTTCCCAAAGAAGAAGTAGGATGTTTAATGCCTTTATTTAACCAATCGGCACTTCTATTTAAATGCCCATTAGACGTCTAAATGCAAGATTTAGATGCCCATTGTCATTGTCCATACTTGAAAACTGGGCTCCTGCTGATTCGCTCTTGAATCAGCGGACTCTATAGAGTGTTCCAACTGGAGCAGATTTTCATACACCCAAGTCCAGGTGCTTGCGTGTTTCAGGGAGGAGTATGGAGCGGACTGCTACAGATGACTGCAATTTGGCAGTGAAGAGCCAAGGAAAGGGTGTTCTGGTAGAACTCAAGAGTTTGGGCTGGCAGAGAGAAAAAGGATGCAAGATTATATTGCTGGTCACCTGCGGTGGTAGTAGCAAATGATGGGTCTCTCTGAGTATGACCTGTCTGCGTGTTTATACGCTCCTGTCGGAGCAGGATGGGGAATTGATGCTGCAAACTGATGTCATGTGGCCAATGCTACAAATTGAGAGCAATCGAAAAATGAAGACTTTTCTGGTCCAAGCCCCCGTTGTTTTTTGGTTGCATGGCAGCTGCAACTTTGGCTCCTTGGTGATCTTACCTTGCACTGATAAAATAGATCTAAAATGCCGCCATTCTGTTTGGTAGCATCTTATACTGGTGGAAATGATTGCACAGGATTCAAGGCAACATGATTAGACCTACTGTTTGCTTAAATCCTTGAAACTGTGGAGAGGATTCTTATGCCATGTGCATCTCCATTGTACCTTCCTGTAGGTCAGTAAGCAACATGTCTAGAATCTGTCACCCGTGGCTTTTCTTTCTATCATCCTCTCCCCAGCGGGGAAGTGGTGGTATCCTGCCAGCTGAGAGAACTTGGGAGAAAGGAGTATCTGTCCAAGTCACTTAGCTGGAGCCAGATCCTATACTTCCCATGTAGGCAAAACTCCTGTTTTCACTTGTGCATATGGAACTTGAGATCAGGGACCCTGAAAGATGGTTTCATTGCATGGACTGTCAGGCGCAGACGAGGCTACATTATGATGGCATTGACCGTGGCCGAGCCTGCCTTTGAACAGGACTGTATGCTGTTCAGATATAAAACCGTTCACAATAGGGCTTTTGTGATGCATGGGCTTCTTGCTGGATCATGAAAGTTTCCTAAATACTACAGTGCTGCGGGCCTAATAAATGCAGGAGAGAAATCAGTAGAACTGATCCACCATCCCAGATAGTTCCATATGGAGGATTTAGTTGTATCTCTCCCTTCCTACTCTTATTTTTTTCCCAATGTTTGGATTTTCCTTCCTTCAGCTCAAGGATGTGCTGCGCTTTAGACTGAGCGAACTGGGTGAATCATAGGTCACCTCAGTGATTGTCTCTAATGACAAGAGGAAGTGTCAGGATGTTATAATGGCTGTAATCGGTACTCTCTGGAACGGAGCAAGCCATGTTACCCTGTTTTTTAAAAACAAAAACAAAACAAACCTCTGCTTCTGTCTGATGTGGGGGAAATAAGGAAGTGGAAGAGGAAGCAGGGGGATGAAATGTCATTGTGTCTCTTTCACGTGATTTCCAGGGTAGGAAATCCAGCCCAGCTCCTAGGATAGATTATTTGGGACGTCTCCAGCTGTTGTGCAGGTCCTGAGATGGAATTAACCTGGGAAGGGTGTTGGTCGTGCACTGTGCCTTGCTGCACCATGGGGTTCCCAAGTGTGCTGATTGGATTTCCCAGCTGTCTGGGTGCTGGAGTCACCAGCTGATTATCCCAGGACACTTCAGTGTCCTCAGCGCTGAAGGTTTGCTTATGTCTGTGACCTGTTCCCCAGCTCTTCACTGCGTGGTGACGATGAACTGAACCATGTCCTCTTCTCCCTCCCATTCTCTCTTCTCAGCTGGGGAGTCCCACTTGTCATCACAGTGGCTGCTGTCGCTTTGAAGAAGATTGGCTATGATGCGTCAAACGTCTCTGTGGGCTGGTGCTGGGTCGACCTGGAAGCGGCGGATCAGGTCCTGTGGATGCTGTTAACAGGGAAATTGTGGGAGCTGCTGGCGTATGTGATCCTACCTGTCCTTTACATCCTCATCAAAAAGCACATCAATAGAGCGGTTGGTACCCTGGGTGCTTTTGCTTTAAATAAGGATGACTTATGATGGTATTTTCATATCACTTAGACTCTCAAGGCATGCTATCAACTACATAGATTGGAATGGCTTTGCCCATCCCTAAAATGCAGCCATCTCTGGGGAGCAACAGTGCACAGCACCTCTACCCAGTGACTTAGCATGAGATGAACATGGCACACATTTAAAAACTGTAAAGGGGAGGGGACGTGGAAAGGTAGAATGTAAATATTGGAGTAGGACATTGGGGAAAAAATCCAGACCTGGTGTAATCGAAGGCAACTTTAGTGGTGTTGATCCACCTACACTAGGCCTGAATTTGGCCTCTGGAGGGAGTGGGGGTGTCAAATATCCTTAGCCTGGCAAAAAGTGCTGTGGGATCTTGAGTGGCTGCTCTGTGCTAGGCACTGGATACACACCCCTAATAAAAAATTCAGCTCCTGCCCCAAAGAGCTTTCAATCTATACAGCAAATAACAATGAAACCTCTGGCGAGGATAAGAATTTGGAGGGCCAGGTTAGCACTTGAACAATGTGGAAGTATAAACCTAAATTATGCCACAGTGGCAGGACACCGGGACCTCCAGAGGACAGATTCCTATTTTTTGCCCTAAATTATGGATTTTAAAAAAGCCAACTCTAAAAATGTTGTCTTCCCCTGGCCGCCAGCGCAGTCGCTTCTGCTTGCCAGGGTGATAATTAGAGAGAGCAGACAGCTAAGGGATTGGTTAGGCTAGACATCCAGAAGTTGGGATGTTTCTCCCACCCGGCTCTAATCAGGAAACCTGGCTTGCCATCTCCCAAAGGATGGCCAGCTTTCCTGCCATGAGACCGGGCATTGCCTGGTCACGTCTGTATTGGAAACACTGGGGAATATCCTCAGTGCCTGGAGATCTGGGAAGAGGAGGCCAAGAAGGTTCATGGCTGCCTATCACCTGTCGCCCATCTGTGAACTAGACAGGACTCTGTGTTCTATCAAAGATGCCAGCGTAACTGTCTGGAAACCCAATCTCCCCCATTCCCCGCCCGTCTGCTCTGTGCCAGAGACTTTCAGGCACTGTCCTCTCCCTCACGTGCCCTGGGCTCTGATTCCTCGGCAGGAAGGGAGCTGAACGCAAGCGGTTGTCAAAGCCGATTCTTGTAACTGGTTTCCGAGGGCCGGAGGCAGCAGCAGGCTGGGCCATCCGGACTGCAGCTTTTCTCCCTTCTCCTGAGCTTTCCCCTGTAGCTTGAAGCTGTCCTGAGCCTGGTAGCCCTAGGACTGCGGCCTCACAGCTCTCCTCCAGCCCTGGCGGGGGAGGGCCATTTCCAAGGAACAGCAATAAATAACCTTCCCTCCCTGCTGTGGCAGCTTGTTTAACCACTGCTGGCTTTGGAGCCAGCGTGGGTTTCCGACACGTGCTTTCTCGTGATTGTGAGAGCAGCTGTGTTAGGAGAGGAATGCAGAATGCTGGCAGGTTGTATTCTTTCCCAAGAGCGTCTTGTACCCCTATAGAAATGGCTGGGGCTTTACTGATGGTCCTTGGAGGGGGTCTAACTCCCAGCTGCCCTGTGAGGTCTGTGTGTGTTTGCACCGACTCTTCTGGGGCAATGGGCTTTTGCTGGTGGGGCTGCTAGCATTGGGAGGAGCAGGAGGAATGGGGGTTGGGGGAAGGGAAGGGTATAAGATTTTATACGCTCTGCAACACATGTGAGAGGGAGGAGGAGTTTTCAGCGGGACACCTGTGCTGGTTTTTGAGAGGTGTCAGTTCAGAGGCTCTCTGCTCATTTCGCCAGCTGAGAATCTGGCCCTTAATCTCTTGATTTCCCCCTCTGTAAAATGGGGATAATCCTTCCCTGCCTCACACACGTCATTACAGTGGTGTGGTTATGTAAGGCTCTGAATAGACCGTTAGTACTTTGGAGACCACAGAGGCAATAATAATTGATACTTTGCCCTTTATAGTTGTTTTTTATCTGTGGATCTTGGTTTTATAAAAGTAGGCTGAGATTACTTCTATTTCACAGGCACGTACAGATTAAATAACTTGCCAGAGGCCATGCAGCAATTCGGTGGCAGAGCCAGGAATGGAACCCAGGTTTCTCGACAACCAGCGAACCTATTTTGTAAAGCATTACTGATGTTTACGTTGCTATAGCTGTGATTGTTCTTAATTATTTAGCAACCTAGGTGTATGTGGTGCTCACGTAGAATACTGAAAAAGTCGAGGTGTCCCATTCTGCCCTCCTTTACATCTGGGTGGCCGTCTTGGTTTCGCCCCGGGTTTGCTTATGTTAACGGGCAGAATTTTGCCCAAAATCTGTGTTCCAAAGAACAGATAGGTAGCTGGGCTGGAGTCCAACCTGGGCAGTCTCTGTACGGCCTGGGCGTTCCTTTGGCTGACAGTGCAGCAGAGGGCAGAATGCGAAGGGTTAATTGGCTTTGGCAAGAAGCCACCAGCGTGAGCATTTGCAATAACCTAGTATTGGAACTTCAGAGTCTTTCATTTTTTCTTTCCTTCGAAGCGTGCGGCACTCTCTGAATATCGCCCCATACTAGCCAGGGCTCCGGCCTTTCAGCCCAGGACTTCCATAGCAGATAAGAAATTGATCCTCATCCCGCTCATCTTCATCTTCCTCCGCATCTGGAGCACTATCCGATTCATCCTGACCCTCTGCAGCTCCCCTGCCGTGCAAAATTCAGTCCTGGTGGTCCTGCACGTAAGTACCTGCCGGTCGCTGCACTCACCTGACAGGTCCATATGGGAGATGGGGGTGGGTGGGGTGAGAAGTGATGGGCTTGCCCACGTCTGAGACATGCAGTTTTTGGCCCCTGCCATTTTCGGGACTAGATGTAACCGTGCAGGGACTCAGAAAACGGCCTGCATGATTTGTGCGTGCATGCCACCAGCAAAGACTTCATGCTAGCCCAAGAGCATAGAATCAATGAAATGTAGGGCTGGGATGGGACCTTGAGAAGTCATTAAGTTCAGCCCCCTGCTCTTTGGCAGGACCAAACAAACCTAGACCATCCCTGGCAGGTTTGTGTCCAACCTATCTTAAAAAATCTCCAACAATGGGGATTCCACAAGCTCCCTTGTTAAGCTCTGGAATAGGCTTGCTACGCTTAGAGTTAGACATTTTTTTCCTAATATCTAACCTAAATCTCCCTGGCTACTGATTAAGCTCATTACTACTTGTCCTACCTTCAGTGGGCACTGAGAACAATTGATCACAGTCTTCTTTATAGCAGCCTTTAACATATTCAAAGGCTGTTATCATATCCCTCCTCTGCCTCCTTTTCTCAACACTTCCCAGTTTTTTTAACCTTTCCTAATAGGTCAGGTTTTCTAAAACTTTTATCATTTTTATTTCTCTGTTGCGGCTCTCCTCTGGAAGCTCTCCAAATTGTACAGCTCTTTCCCAAAGCCTGGGGCCCAGAATTAGACACACTACTCCAATTGAGGCTTTTCTCCTGTTCTCCCTGAACACTGTGCACAAGCTATATAATTTTCTATGAGCACGAGAGTGTACAAAGAAAGAGTTAGTGTGATTCTCCCAATTCTTTTTACAAAGGCACCTGGGCTGGGGGGCAGATGTCCATTTCTTTCTCTGAAATAGACCAGGCTATGACTCATTATCCTAAACCAGCATTTCCTAAAGTGGGAGCGTGATCCTTCTGGGAGAGCTAGTCAGGGTGCACAGTTGCACCTCTGCTTTCCTTTTTAAAAAACTTCCTTCGAAATGTGACCCAGATATAACAAAGGCAGCAGATGTCCGCCTGTGTTTGCAGAGAGCCTGAAACAATAGCTCAGCGATGTGGGCTGCCCCATTCTGTTCAGATGGCCAGGATGATATACTTTAAATCTCAAAATGGTTAACTATTCCACTGCTCATCAAAGCAGGGAAGAAAGGTGAGGAAGGGTCATATTCTGAAGATCTACACAGGATATTCCAGTGTTTCTCAAAGTGAGGGCAATGTCCCCAGGGATAGGCGGGGCTTGGAAAATGAATGCATTAAGACTGGTAGCTTTTGAGCAAGACAGCAGAGTTGCAGGGAATGGGCATGATTGATTTTCCTGAAAGGTGGGGAGCTTCGCTCCCACAATTTTGGGAAGTGCTGCCCTGAACAGTATTTTCTTCCTCTCATATAACATTCAAGACTTGCATGATTCTGGGAAACGTATCTCGACTTTGCTATGGATCAGCAAAGCCTTTTTTATGGCTGTGGTGGAGCAGTTTCTTGGCGGATATTGTTGCTAATCTATTTATAATTCACAAAGAGCCCACTCCTGATCTGCACTAATGCCTGGGGAGACCTGTTGCAAATGGCCCAGCTCTGTGAACCGAGGGAGGAAAACCAACCAACAGTGATTAAACATCAAATTCTGTTGCATCAAAATATACCCTGCCCAGGAGCAGCAGTTTCAGCAGCATCTAGTGGCCAGAGGGGCAAACTGCAGCCAAAAAGAGATTCCCCCGTCCCAGCTGCTAAGGACGCAGAGGGAGATCCATATTGTAGGCGAGGAACTCGGTGAACGTCTCTCCCGGAATGGGACTGTTGGTTCCAACGGAATAGAGCTGAGCTGCTCCTCCTGGGTGCCAATGTCTCGCATGCGAGGGGCTGGCTGGAGGTGCTCACACCTCTCTGGCCACATTTCAAACAGAAAGAGGATCTGAGATATTGCCTGTGGGGGTTGCTACTCTACTTCAGGGAGTTCCAAAGCCAGGCTAGTTTTAGCTTGGTTTACAGATTTTGTTGTTGTTGTTCGAGCCGACCCTCCACTAATACACAGATATGGCACGTTCTGTAAAGCAAGGGTCTTGTGAAATAGAAGGGCCTTCGTTTTCCTGTCCCCGGACTCTTTTTATCTCCCCTACACACACACTTTTTTTTTTTTCCCTTCTCCATCTCTTGATTCCTCTTTCATGTCTGGGTGTCTCTGACTAGCCTCTCACTCTTTTATTCAACGTTCCTGTTTACTGTCTCAACTGTTGTTCTCTCTTCTCTCCCTGCCTCTGCTCTTTCCTGGGTCTCTCCTCCCCAGTGTCTTTTTCTCTCCCTCTGTTTTCTAACTCTTCCCCACCATTTCTCCATCCCCCTATGCCCTGGCCTCTCTTAGGATGGGGCCAGAGCACAGGCTGTCTTTGCCCTCCTAAAGCGGGACAGTGACTGTGGGGATGTTCCCTTCTAAACACAGGTGAGTTGTCCGCATTTCCTGACTGCTTAGGGGCTTGGTTTTCTTTCTGGTGCAGGGATGATGTCCCAGACCCTTGTCCTCTCAAGGCTGAAACCCCCTGCTCTGCCCGTTCAGTGACTGTCTTGGCCTAGTTCAGCATCTGATTGCTTCTGGGATGGGGGAAGAGACACCTCCTGGAACTGCTTGGAGCTAATTTTCTCTTCCTACCCTTGCAGGGAATTGGGAACACATTCCAGGGAGGTGCCAACTGCATCATGTTTGTCCTCTGCACTCGTGTCATCCGGACCCGGCTGCTCTCTTCCCTTTGCTGTGGTCGCTACGGAGGTTTGCATCAGCCTTCACAGAGCCTAGAGGGGGGTTACCAGCACGCCGAACCCCCCAAGAACACGGAGGCTGAACAGACGAAGGCCGAATTCGCAAGCACCTGAGCCTTGAATCTCCACGGCTGAGTGTGAGATTCCGTCATTCTTGGTAAAGGTTTAACTGTGAGTCCTGCCTGTGCGCAGCCTCGTTCCTGTAGTCGGGGTAATTGCCATGGGCAGCATGGAGGCAGAGGAGGAAAACAACAGCGAGTTTTATTAAGAGAGATGAATTCAGCCGCTAGAGCGAGAGAAGAGAATTGCACTGCAGCTGGTTTTGCAGCACTCCTGCAGGAGAACTGTCCATCTCTGGGTGTTTTACAAGCATCAGTGAAGTGATTCGCACATGCCTCTGTCAGACAGGGAAGTGTGGAAAATGGGGAAACAAGGCACAGAGGCAGTCGGTGGTGCAGATGGGGTTAGAAGCTGTATCTCTTGACCCTTTAGCTGCCCATATATCAATTGACAACGCATGCAGCCGAGTGTCGATAGGGATCTGTGGTTACTGCCACTACCTGCCTATCCGTGGTGCCCCCATTTCCTTAGTAACTGAGTACCTTACACGCTTTATTGTATTTATCCACACAGTATCCTTGTGAGGTTTGGGAAGTAGGGCAGTGCAGTTAGCCCCACTTCACAGAGAGGGAGCTTAGGCACAGAGAGGCTAAGTGACTTGCTCAAGGTCACTCAAGACTCTGTAGCAGAGTAAGGATTTGAGCCCTGGTCTCCTGGGTCATAAATTAGTGTCCTAATCCCTGGACCATCCTCTCTTACTGCCTGGCTATGTTCAGAGTCCTGTTTCCATTTTGAGGCGTAGCCCAGCAGGAACGTAATGCAGAGCTGGGAGGGTGCTGAGACGTTGCCCATCTGAGAGCTGTATGGGTAGGAGTCTGAATATCACCCAGTGTTGGATGGAACAGATCCTGGCAAAGCCGTCTGACTTTACTATGGAGCTGCAGCCCATGAAGACAAGTCCCACGGTGCCATGGTTAATCTGCTCAGATCCAGGTGGCTCACTGCGCACTGTAGTCTCTGCAAAAGCAGCTGCAAGCCTTGCAGAGTTCCCTGACCTGTATTGGCCCTTCAGGGTACACTCCCACCACCATTCGTACAGAGGGGTGAACTCGAAAAAGGAGTCCCCGTGAGCAGCTGGGTGTGCATGGAGCTTGGCGAAAACTGGGTGTTACGCACGAGGGAGAGACACGACATATCTTTGGGTGAGCTCCTGCTACCCATTTTTTCCTCCTTGTTCGCTCCCGATACAAATGCAAGGCTTGAAAAACCGGAGCAGGATTTTGCTTCCTAGCCGCACTTGTTTTTTAAAAAAAACTATTTGCATAAGCAGCTTTTGCAGCAAATTAGCGACACATGAGCTGTCTGGGGTGGGGGTGGGGGTGGCAGAGGGCAGCAGCCCAACTCCCATTGCTCCATGCACGCAGCTGTTCAGAGGCAGCGCTCGTTAGTGTAACTAATATTAGTCCTGAGCACATGGCGGTCAAATGATCTAGCGAACACCCAAGGTCTAATCGTGGCTGGGATGATGAATTCGGGTGTGGCTTTGCGTAAAGTCTTTAAATGAAGCGCATGTGGGAGATTGGCGAGGGTATTATTTTATATCCCAGGATTGCCTCAACTTCCCGCTTGGGGGCAAGATGCTGTTTAGCAACATACTGCATAGACGTATAGGAAGGCAAAGGCCGCGCTCCAAAGAGCTTACAGTCTTTCTTGCTGCCTCACCAGGGTGTTGAGAGGCTGATTCGGTTAATATTTGTAAAGCATGTGGAAGGTGCGTTCACATAAGTATTATGAGCAGATGACTTTTAGATAGGGTTACCACCTTTGAAATGCAAAAAACCTGCACCCCCCAAGGCAAGCCTACCCCAACCACAAGTCAACTTTGCAACCCCCGCCCCTTCAACAGCTACTTATAGTATCTAGAGAGAGAATGCATATAGATAATCTCACCCGTGTTCTCACATGACTCAAACCTTCTCCCACACCCGCGCAGTGCACTTGCATGTTGGTGGGCAGACAGCTGCTGTATTTTCAACAGTTTTCATCTGTTGTTGCTAAACTGCTGAAGTGGGAACGCTGCGGCAGCTTCAGCTGGGTACAGAAACTTTGCACGTTCGATATCCCAGGGGAGTGTGGTGGTGGTGGTGATGATGATGCAAATGTTTAGACCCATGTAAAAAGAAAACCCGGCAGATTACATTATTTTTCTGGCAACTGGCAAATCCATAAAAAAAACGGCCCGGCCAGTCAAGTATGAGCCAGGTGGTAACTCTACACTTAGTGTACGTATGTACAGCACCTGGGAGGTGTGACTGCAGCATGTACAGACTTGCCTGCGATCGCTTTGATCTAGCTAGCTGGAATAACCAGAGTGGCATGGGCCAGGTGCCAGTGTACATCCCCGGGGTCTCGGGCAGGGTTATGCTCCAGCAGCTAGCTCTGGGGGCCATGACTTCACTACTAACGTTATTCGAGGTAACTAGATCCAAGCTAGCTCAGGTAAGTCTGCACCTGCTGCAGTCACACCTCTGATTGTAGCGCAGACAGATCGTTAGCACGCTGTCCTCCAACCAGAAATGTGTATTACCTTGATAACAAACAAGTAACCAGCCCAGCACCTAAACCTCATGTTGCCAACGGTGAGCATTGCATGTGACTTGATTAATGGCAGCTGCAGTTTCCTTTCTTATAGAGGGGGAGAGACTAAGCGTTAAAATTGAAATTAAAACCTTGCTTCATTTGAATCTTTTGAAGCTGCTTACAGAAGAGGAAATAAGAATTCTGATAGTCACCAAGATATTTTTTTAAATGCAGCAAAACCACCTTCTCTCTCAATTCCTCTTTCCATATAACTCCAAAGAAAGATTGAAAAAAAAAAAGGGTTTGGTTAGTCTGGAGAAGAGAAGGTGGCGGGGGTGGGGTGGGGAGGAGAGACATAAGTACATAAAAGGTTGTTATAAGAGGAGGGTGATAAATTGTTCTCCTTATCCAGTGAGGACAGAACAGGAAGCAATTGGCTTAAGTTGCAGCAAGGGAAATTTAGTTTAGATATTAGGAGAAACTTCCTAACTGTCAGGGTAGTTAAGCACTGGAACAAATTACTTAGGGAGGTTGTGGAATCTCTGGCATTGGAAGTTGTGTCAGGGGTGGTCTAGATAATACTTAGTCCTGCCTCAGTGCAGGGGACAGGACTGGATGACCTATCCAGGTTCTGAGAGAAACAGGCTATGTTTTCCTGCTCTGGCTAGCTAACGTGACAGGCACCATGTTGCCTGACGCACCACGGATTGAACTAGGGACCTCTAGAGCTAAAAGCAGGTGCTCGTACCGCTTGAGTAAAGAGTCAAGGCTCTGCAGTTAGTGGCTGTAACAACTCATGTGTGACGGGTTGGATCACAGAAACCCCCCTGGGAGTTGCCACCCGATGTGCAAAGACTACCCC